AAATTAGGAAAAAGCGCATCGGTGGGCTTTCCCATCCACAGCCACTAATTTTCCGCCACTTGTCAGAATCGTACGCAGTGACCTTTCTCTATTGCCTCCTTCAATTGTTTGCAGCCTCAAAAAATAAACTGGGCCGTTTAATTTTTCTCTTTTTTAAAATCCGAAGAACATCCAGAGGAAATTATAGTGGCTGAGATTGCTCCGACGCCCCCAAACTGTAATTTCCGGTGCGTTAGGTTTCTCACTTCCAACGAAAAATAGAAAAAAGAAAAAAAAGGAAGTACACAAGAAGCAACTCTTCTTCACTGCAAAAATTTGGTTCCTCTTCAGTTTTCTTTCATCTTTCTTCTCCTTCAATTCACCTCCTTAATTGCAAGAAACTATGTGTTTTCTGCCGAGTTTCTGGTGATTCCACTCTCATGCATGATCGGAGCAGCCACTGTTCCCTTCAGAGTTACCTCCATCCATGGCTGTCCCCCAAGGTACTGTTGTTTTACCTCTGCTTAGGGCTTTTCTTAATTCTTACTCTCAGTTTGGTTGCCGAGAAATTTTTTAGAAATTATGGAGTTTTTTTAATGTTTAGAGTTTCTGTATTTGTTTTGTGATATTCAAGATTGAATTACTTAGCGCTGCTTAAGTTAATTGTTTGGTGTTTAACACACACACACACACACACACACATATTTTCTTCCGTTTCTAATGTTTTCTCGGCAGCTAAATGGAAAGTTTACTTAACGCTACCAGATCAGTATTGTAACGATGCATTACTGTGAGGTGGAGATAGTAGTTTGCTGATTACTGATTAGAATTTCTCTCTTTTCTACATTCTAAGGTTTTGGCGTCTTCCGGTTCGTTTTGGTGAGGATTCTGAATAAGGAATTTTCATTTTAAGTTCTTTTTCGGCGAAGCATCTCTATCTTGTTGCGGTGGCTTCTGAAAATAATTTTTGAAGTTCTATTTCAACTATTTGTTACAAGAGTAAAAATTTTCACACATGTCCCCTGATACAGTTAAATATGGAATTCTTAATTTTGTTTTCATGAAAAAGAGGCGGATCGCTACCGATTTCTGTCGCTTTTTTTCTGTTTTGCAGTAGCATCAAGAAGCGAGGTGACAAAACCAACAACGGCTTCATCATTTAGAATTTTTTATATCCCAAACAATGAAAGGAGGTTTTCGTTTTACCCGTTGCTCGTTAGAGAGGATTTGAAGCAGCGGCAGCTGCTCAGGTCCGTTGATGGATCCCAACTCCTCAGGAGAAGACTTGGTTTTTAAGGTGATAATCCCTCCCCCCTTATCAAAGAAAGAACAAAGAAATGAAGAGAAGAGAATAAAAGACGAAAACTATTTATTACTGAGGTTTAAAGTCGTGTATTTTATGCATATGGTAGACCAGGAAACCATATACAATTACAAAGCAACGAGAGCGCTGGACAGAGGAGGAGCACAATAGATTTTTAGAGGCGTTGAAGCTCTATGGCCGAGCATGGCAGAGAATTGAAGGTAATATTTTGCTCAAATTTCATTGTCCCTCTTGACTTTTGTTTATTTCTTAGCATATAACATTGTTTGGATGAATTATATACTTTGTGATATGTGATGCAAATACAATTAGCATCCAGTTAATTAATCAGAATATGCTTTAATGAAATATTTTGTTATCTATGATCCAAATTTATGGTTGCTGTTGAGCTAAGTTAATCTGGATAAAGAAATGAGTGCTACTTAAGTTTATTTTATCACTGCTTTTTCAGTCTTATAGTTATGGCTGACTTTTGTCCACTTGGAGGAGTTTCTCCCAACTCTATTGGATTGAGGCTAACTTTTCCCCTCTTTTGTAATTTCATTGGTGTATGAAATTGTTTCTGATAAAAAGAAGAAAGAAAAAGATTCTCCTTAAAGGTTACCTGATTTTCCATTGCATGCTTTTATATCCAGAACATATTGGAACAAAAACTGCAGTCCAGATACGAAGTCATGCACAGAAGTTCTTTTCAAAGGTCAAAATGGGCACCCTTCTCTACTTATTCTTATTTTTTCTGCTTTGCTTCTTCTTTGTTTGTAGTCCATGATTTTGATGGTTTTATTTTATGAATATTGCCTTCTAGCAAACTTCTTTCCTTTTGTATTCTTTTTTGGTCCAGTTGTTTTGTTCACAATCTTTCTTACTCATCAGTAGAACGTTTGAGTGTTTCTTACAGGTGGTTCCATTTGTTTTAGGATAACAGGTAGTTCCATTTGGCATTATGGCCTAGGTGCCTTTATCCTGTACGCTTGTTTTTATGTATGCTGAATATAGATGTTGCTTTATCTCTAGTATGGATACTAGACTGATGTTAGTTTCACAACATCGATGATCCTGATCCAAATGATTTATGTTGCTTTGAGGTTTTGAAATTTGATCTTTGAGGTAAACAAAAATGTTTGAACGAGAAGGCTATGCTTAGTACTAAATCACCCAGACATTCAAACCTAAAGTTATTGTATGACTTTTCTTTCCTAGGCTTGAAGGTTTTGCTTACTACTAAATCCTTGGGTTCAGAATGATAGAGTTCTGAGTTTTTTGGATTGTAGGGTACTATCAAACGTTTACTGAAAGTTCCAAGCTAACAGGGAAGAATGCACAGTTCAAATAGTTTAAATAACGTGAGCACAGCTTTTAGTGGCACAAAGGAGGTACTGGTGACAGCATTGAATTAATAATTTCACAAACGGACTGATGTCTTGTTTCAGGTCGGTCTCAACTTGGATTAAAACATCATTTTTTTATGTGAGCATGTAGTTAAAGAAGAAAGCTGATGTGTTGTTCAGTTCTCTATGTCTTGGTAGACCTTGAGATGTTCAGTTCTCTATGCCTTGGTAGACCTTGAGAAGGTATAAAGAAAGAAAAATAGAAGTCTAGAAATGAGATGGAGAAAGACCAAAAGAGTTTATTTAATCATATATACCCAAGAAAGGAAATATTAGCTTAGGAATTAAGGTAATTAATAAGCTAATTGAGCACTGTTCTATAGAGATCTCAACCTTGCCCCTTGAACATAGGCTAGTTTGGGAACATACCTAGAAATCTATGCCCACAATTAAGAAGATGACTTTGAGCTGGCCAAGTTCAATCAGGATGAGGGGAAAAGGTAGCCTACTAAATGAAGGGCACAATTTCTTGCTCTCATCTTTGAAGGTATGACTAAAATGGACTTGATACCTTCACAAAGACATTAAATGGAGCTCAACGAGAGTCTCTTTGTAATAGGCTCTAGTTTGAGGGAGAGTGTTATAGTATATAGAGCTGTAGAAAACTTAGTAACATGCGTCCACTAGTTGTTGTTGGTCTTTTTTTGTATCTGTGAGTGTTCAGGCCAGTTTACATGCACTTCGACTATTCTCGTGAATAACTGCCTGATCTATTATTTTTGGATATATGAAGTGTATGAAATATGATTGAATGCTTTTCTCTCAAACCTCTGTTAGGCTATTTATATGTGCAAGATTTTGTTATCTATTCTATATAAATTTGTCTGCTTCCAATCTTGTAACATATATATGGTCATAAATTAAAGAAGGACAATTTCAGCAACTCCACATTAGTGATGAGATTAAATATATATTCCTAACTTGTTTATGGCCCTGCTCTTGTTGTAATTTTCAGGCTTTCCAGCTATTTCTTGTTTATTCAAAATTTGTTTCCATGTTGATAACATTTTATCTAAACTTTTAGCGATGATTCCTTTTATAATTTTATTCTTTCAAATAAAAATGATTTGTTAAAGAAATCTGGGGCTATTTGCGACTAATTGTGTTTATTTATTTATTTTTTATTTTTTAAATACGGCATGAAATAAAATAGTTTTTTGGTGCATGAAACCTGAGCTCAGCCAATAGAATTTGTGGTCAAAGGACGTGCTGTTTAGTTTTTAATTATAATATTTGCATGTTACATACCTAATTCAGTGTCCTTGATGTGACTTATTTTCATGTAAGTTACCTGACGTACATGGTACTTTCTGCTTCCAGAATGATTTTTCTCTGTTGTCATAAAACAATCTCTCTATCAGAATCACCTCAGATTCTTGCATGGGGAGATAATGGTACGTGATTCAGTTTCTTTCTTTAAGGGCGTCTTTAAGCACTGTCCATTTGCTGAAGACAATTACCACTAACTGGCCAACCATCCTTGCTTGATGATAATGACTTGTCTGAATATCCATCCATCCGGACCCTTTCGTGATGTATCACTCATGGTAATATCGACTTGATATTAGATACCCATCCTGGGGCTATGTTCTATAATGCAAACCTCCACCTAGTGAGAAGGAGAACAATGCTGATACACCTATCCCACATAATATTGGCCATATATTCACGGTCCTCTTGGACGACTCTTGAAGCCCACTTGTCTGTAATGCTTGCTCATGCTATGATGTGTTATATACCATGGGATGCCTCATATTGGCCCACCTTGGCCTAGTATAGTGGAGAGTTAACACTGTGTTTGCTGGCCAACAATACATTCTAACAATACATTCTAAGGTAAATCAACGTTGGCGCTAATGTATGCAGTAATGTACATAGATAGTGGCAAATGACTCTTTGACTTCATTGGACCTACATTCTCAACCACATGATCCCACTTTGAGTTTGCTGATGCATCATCCTCTTTCGTTGAATTACGATATTTTTATTGGTCGAGGGGTGGTAGGCCAACTAGTGGCTCAACTTTGGCCCAAGGGTAGTGTGGTCAACTTTCGCCGAGGGTGGTGGGGAGTGGAACACCATGTCCCTATTACATTTGAAGGTAAATTCACTCTACCACCCACAAATATAGAAAGTGACAAGGAGCCACTCGCTCCCTTAAAACCCACGTTCTTGGCCTTGCAGATGATTCCTACTCTTGGCTTGCTTTGTCATTGATGTGTTTCATGTGCTAAGTAGGGCATTCGCGGGTTGGGTTGAGTTGCTTTAGGGACATTTTGTGGAGCAACCTGAAAATTTGGGTGGTTGGGTCACACAACCGAAGGAATCGATCAACACCTAACCTTTAAAAGTTTGGGTTGGGTTGTTAACATTTTGTGACAGACGTCAGACAGTGAGAGAATGCCACGTAGTATAGAGGGTAAGCATGTCAAACTGACATTGACAGTGACAGAGAAGATTGGAATGGAATAAAGACAAGGGTTGAATGCAGGTTGGTTTATTGTGTCAAACATGCAGGCCATCAATGATGTACAGTGAATGAAAAAGGAAGAATAAGAAGAGAGAGAGAGATAAAGTGAGTAGCATTGTTCCATTGAGATTTGAGAGGGAGGAGAGAACAATAATTGAGAGTAATGAGAGAACAGAGACTGACTGAGTGAGTGAAGAGAGGGGTTTGGGGATCGAAGGCTGCTTGTCCTCTACGAATGTCTCGGTTCTCATTAATGGCAAACCCATAGGTAAGATTTTTGCTAAGCGTGGTCTCAGACAAGGGCAAAGATCTTGTGGGAGCCAGTAGTTGATAAGATGAAAGCTAGACTTGACAAGTGGAGCAATTTGCGTCTATCCAAAGGTGGGAGACTTACTCTAGCACAATCTGTGTTGAATAGCATTCTGGTGTACTTCTTCTTGCGGAAAGGTGGAGCTGATAAAAAGGGGAGTCACCTTGCTATTGGGAAACAACTTCCCTTCCTCAAAAATAGGGCGGTCTCGGGATTGGTTCTTTAAAACAGAGGAATCCCAATCTCTTCTATTCAAATGACTTTGGAGATTTGCTCACGAGGAGAAAGCATGGTGGGGAGTTCTCAACATCTTTTTGATTGCCTCAGGCTTGTCCCTAAATGTGGGGGAAGACTTCGTTGATTGGGATAAATTGTGAGGAAGATGTGGTTTCGCACCGGAGCAGTATGTTGGGTTGCAGATTGGAAAGCCTGCCTTGTACCTATTTAGGTTTCCCTTTGGGAGGTAATCAAAGGGCAAAGATCTTGTGGGAGCCGGTCTTAGACTTGACAAGTGGAGGAATTTGCTTCTATCCAAAGGTGGGAGACTTACTCTAGCACAACTTGTGTTGAATAGCATTATGGTGTACTTCTTCTTGCGGAAAGGGGGAGCTGATAAAAAGGGGAGTCACCTTGTTATTGGGAAACAACTTCCTTCCCTAAAAAATAGGGTGGTCTCGGGATTGGTTCTTTAAAACAGAGGAACCAATCTCTTCTATTCAAATGACTTTGGAGATTTGCTCACGAGGAGAAAGCATTGTGGAGACGGGTTGTTGGAGCGATTTACGGGGTACAGAACCATGGCTGGTTTTCTATCCCCACGAATGGCTCCTCGAAAGGTCGCCCTTGGATAGATATTGCTAGAAATAGAGGCAGCTTTGAGAAGTGGAGCACTTTTAAAGTTTCAAAAGGAGACCTTCCTCAAAAATAGGGTGGTCTCAGGATTGGTTCTTTAAAACAGAGGAACCAATCTCTTCTATTCAAATGACTTTGGAGATTTGCTCACGAGGAGAAAGCATTGTGGAGATGGGTCGTTGGAGCGATTTACGGGGTAGAGAACCATGGCTGGTTTTCTATCCCCACGAATGGCTCCTCGAAAGGTCGCCCTTGGATAGAAATTGCTAGAAATAGAGGCAGCTTTGAGAAGTGGAGCACTTTTAAAGTTTCAAAAGGAGACCAAGTGAGATTCTGGGAAGATGGCTGAGCAGATTCCTCGCCTCTTTCAGCATCCTTCCCAGATCTGTACAAGATTTCAACCAAAAAAGATTGCTCTGTGGCAGATTGTTGGGTGACTTCCTCCCATACTTGGGATTTGGGGCTGAGAAGGAATTTTTTTGACAGAGAACTTACTCGATGGGCAAGCTATTAGAAAAGATCGATTTTTGGTAGCCAGGAAATGGGAAAGATAAACTTCGATGGAAAGGGGATAGCAGTGGGATTTTTTTGGCAAAAATAGTGTTCTCCCTTCTGTCTAAGGCTTCACCAAAGCTGAAAGCACCCGTCGTCTCCTACATTTGGAATTTCAAGGTGCC